ATTCAGCTAGCGTTGAGTACGAGCTACAAGAGAAATAAGTTACAAACATCTTTGAGCAAGACGTTAGATTTTTTTTTAAACTTTATTATTTATTTTCAGTGTGAGTAGACTGTGCCGACGTTACGTTGTGTTCAAATTCCACCCAGAGTCTGAATTTAGAGCTGGCGAGACTGCACCATCTGACTTGTGTAGTCCCAGAACTTCCCAGCCTTAAATGTGCATCGACACGTAACTACAGGGTGAACGTGAGTGGAAGATAGCATCGGTTCTCCGTCCCCCTTGCTGGATTGAAGATTCAACTTCAGGTCGAGGGTTGATAAAAATTCCCCACATCCAGATTTTTGGGGGCGTGAAAGATTCCCAAGGGAGTAAGTCTACGCGTCACCATTTTCGACATAAAGTATTTGTTGTTTGTTTTTGGTCTTCAGGAGTCACGAACAACGTGCTGGTCGGCAAGGACACTCGTCAGCACGAAGTCAGCAAAGGTTCTTTTTGGTAAGAAACATCGCATCTGTTTATCTGAGTAACACACCGGAGTTATTTTAGCATATTCATGCGGCGCGCTGGACTTGCGGCGAGCAAGTTTCTTTGTGGTTGGTATCTTGTGTGTCTTCGGGGCACGGAACACGCAAAATTGTCCGTAGCTGCGAAGGTTAAGGGGGAGTACTCGTTTGTCAAAATGTCCCCCGCGATGAGCTAGCGACCAGTCAATGTGTCAAACGGTCGTGGCTCCAGGTGACACCTGTCAATCACTTTGTTGTTGTTGTTGTTGTTGCCAGTCTGATCGTGGACTTGGTGTGCGCGGGATGCCACGCGGTTCTCGGGATGATCTACAGGTCGACGCCCAAGAACTTCAACTACAAGAGATGCACCTTCTGCTTCAACGTGGCCTGCATCGACAGGTAGCTCGCCTCAAATTTGCCAGCCGCAATCGTGACAAGGAGGCGCGTCCTGAATGCGCTGGCGTGTGTGGCAAGCCGCTTGTCTCCTCTTTGTATAATTTTCTTGCAAATTATTTGAGGCGGTTGCCCCGTACATGCTCTAGAAACTCAAAGTTTGGGGATCAAATGGATGATCCAAAATGTGCGAATTGTGAACGAGCGCGAAAAGTGCTTGAAATGCCAGCCACAATTCAAATCCATAGTGCATAAAATCTAAATGAAATAATCCCCCCAAAAGTCTGCAGGCAGATCAAAATAGACAACAAAATCAACTCATAAAAATGAACGGCATTGTCATCTATTTTGGTTTGATGACGTGATTGATTCAAACACGTTCTCGTTGAATGTGCATATCGTCAATCCCCAAATCCTTAGAAATGTACGACTGTCAATCAGACGTGGCTAATTTGCTTTTGATTCGATTATTTTTTTTTTACTTGAATTTTCTGTTATGTGTGTGTGTGTGTGTGTGTGTGGACATAAAGTTAATTTATATTGCTTTGCCATATATTTTGTCATTTTTTTCCACTGTTTTTTCGATCAATTTATTGTTTTATTGTTTATAGTTCTATGGATGATGTTTGCTCCATGCCGAGTGTTGAGATGTGCGCTTCGTTCGGGATGTATTTGGGAAAATGACAAGAGATGAAATTTCTTGCTGAACTCAAACTCGTGGCATGTTTCTTTTTGCTGACTGCACAGAGAGCGGCCACTTCTAATCACCACTGAACAGGAAGAGAATTTCGCGCCGAATACAGACCGGATATGGCGTTGTGTCTTGGGTTGCCAGATCCGCTCAAAATAAACAAGTATGATGTCCCAATGACACATTTCTATCGTAAAGAACCTATTACAACATTACAGAAATAAGGATATAAAATACTGTTTCTTAACACCTCCACTTTTACTCAGTTCGCTGTAATGTAAACAAAATTAAATACACCAAAATAGGAAACAATGTGGACCCTGTCTCACACATTTCAAATCCCAAAAACAATGGGTGCAAACTCAATTAACTTTGTCAGAAGTGCCTTTTAAGTGTCTTAACAGTCTTACCTTGTGTTAGCTGTTAAGCGGATAGTGTTGTTTGGTTTTTGTTGTTTTTTTGGGGGGGGGGGGCG